CAGCAAGCAGAACTCTTCATCCACACCTGCAGTGGTTTGCCTGGAAAACAGATATGAAGCCCTAGCTACAGATGAAAATGAGCACATTCTGTCAGCAGAAGACACCAGGCCAGTACTCCCCCAAGTTGGGAGGATCTGAACCACTGCCACAAAGAGGAAACGATGAGTGGCAGTGGTTGGAGACTCCCTTCTGCAGGGGACAGAGACATCCATTTGTTGACCTGACCTGTTGGCTCAGGAGGTCTGATACTTGCCAGGAGTCCAGATTTGGGATGTAATGGAGGAATTACTGGGACTCATCTGGCCCTCTGACTACTATCCCATGCTGATCATCCATGTGAGCACCAATGATACTGCCAGGGGGAACCCTGACTAGAGCAACAAGTGACTACAGGGCTCTGGGTGCAAGAGTGAAGGGGGCAGGGGCTCGGGTGGTGTTCTTCTTGATCCTTCTGGTCAAGAAGGCAGAAGCAGATGTATCCTGTAGATCTATGTATGGATGTGCAGAAGGTATCACCAGCAGCGCTTTGGCTTTTTTGACCATGGGATGCTGTTCCAAGAAGGATTGCTAGGAAGAGATATAATCCACCTGACAAAGAAAACGAAGAGGATCTTTCCAGACAGGCTTACTAACCTGCTGAGGAGGGTTTTAAACTAGGCTTACCAAGGGATAGAAACCAAAGCCCTGAGGTAAGCTGGGGAGTGGGTGACTTGGGGGATACATAAGCAGAAGAGGGCAATAAGGGAAGCACTTTTTCATTCTTCCTGAGAAAGTAGAGCAATTGGCTAGTTACCTCAGATGCCTGTACATGAATGCACAGAGCCTGGAAAATAAGAAGGAAGAGTTGGAAGTCTTCACAAAGTCACAGAACTATTATCTCATTGGAATAACAGAGACTTGGTGGGATAGCATGACTGGAGCACTGTCATGGATGGGTATAAACTGTTCGGGAAGGACAGGCAGGGGAGAAGAGGAGTTGGAGTTTTGCTTTATGTAAAAGATCTGTATGATTGCTCAGAGCTCCAGTATCAAACTGAAAGTCACGGTTAGGGTTAGAGGGGAGAGCAACACAGGTGCTATTGTGAGCGGTGTCTGCTACAGACCACCAGAGTAGGAGGACGAGGTAGATGAAGCCTCTTCAGATAGTTAGTGAAAGTTTCCAAATCACAGGCCTCAGTTCTCATAGGGGACTTCAGTCACCCCAACATCTGCTGGGAGAGCAATACACCAGTGCGCAGGCAATCCAGGAAGTTTTTGGAGAGTGCTCCTTCCTGGAGCAAATGTTGGAGAGACCAACTAGGGGCTGTCCTCACAAACAGGGAAGAACTGGTGGGGAACGTAGAAGTGGATCGCAGTTTGGGCAGCAGCAACCACAAGATGACTGAGTTCACAGTCCTGAGGAAAGGAAGGAAGGAGAGCAGCAGAGTAAGGATCCTGGACTTTAGAAAAGCAGAATTTGACTTACTCAGGGAACTGATGAGCAGGCCAGCCTGAGGGGGAAATGAGTCCAGGAGAACTTGCTGTGCTTTAAAGAAATCTTACGGAGGGAGCAGGAATAAACCACCCTGATGAACAGGAAGACTAGCAAACATGGCAAAAGACCATCTTGGCTTAGCAGGAAACTCTTCAGTGAGCTAAAACACAAAAAAAAAAAGCTTACATGAAGTTGAAACTTGGACAAACAACTAGGGAGGAGTATAAGACTATGCAGGGGTGAAATCAGGAAGGTCAAAGCACTATTGAAGTTGCAGCTAGCAAAGGAAGAGAAAGGTAACAAAAAGGGTTTCTACAAGTACATCAGCAACAAGAGGAAGATCAAGGAAAGTGTGGGTCCCTTATTGAATGGGGAAGCAACCTAGTGACAAATAACGTGGAAAAGGCTGAAGTACTCACTGCTTTTTTATCTCTGTCTTCACAGGCCAGGTAAGCCACCAGACTACTGCACCTGGCAGCACAGTTCAAGCAAGAGGTAAGCAGCCAACAGTGGCAAAAGAACAGGTTAGGAACTGTTTAGAAAAGCTGGATGTGCCCAAGGCTATGGGGCCAGATGTGATGCACTGTGGGCGGTGAAGGAGTTGGCCAATATGGAAGTCACTGGAAGTTAATGGAGCCACTGGCCATTATTTTTTAAAACTCATGGTGGTTAAGAGAGGTCCTGGATGACTGGAAAATGGCACATATAGGGCTCATGTTGAATAAAGGCAAGCAGGAGGATATGGGAAACTACAGATTGGTCAGCCTCACCTCAGTCCCTAGAAAAATCATGGAGCAGATACTCAAGGAATATATTTGAAAGCACTTGGAGGAGAAGGTGAATAGGAGCAGTCAGCGTGGATTCACCATGGGCTAGTCATACCTGACCAACCTGAATGCCTTCTGTGACAAGATGACTGGCTCTGTGGAGGCAAGGAGAGCAGTGGATGTGATATACCTTGACTTTAGGAAGGATTTTGATATGATCTCCCACAGCAATCTTGCAGGCAAGCTAAGGAATTGTGGGTTGGATGAATGGACTGTAAGGTGGATAGAAAACTAGCTGGATTGTCAGGCTCAAAAAATAGTATTCAATGGCTTGATTACTTGATTAATGGTAGCTGGTATCAAGTGGAATGCCCCAGGGGTTGGTCCTGGGGTTAGTTTTGTTCACTATCTTCATAAGTGCATGCACCCCCAACAAGTTTGCTGATGACACCAAACTGGGGAAAGTAGTAGATACACTGGAGGGTACAGCTAGGATTCAGAGAGACCTTGACAAATTGGAGGGTTGGACCAAAAGAAATCTCATGAGGTTCAATAAGGACAAGTGCGAAGTCCTGCACTTAGGACAGAACAATCCCATGCACTGCTACAGGCTTGGAACTAACTGGCTAAGCAGCAGCTCTGTAGAAAAGGACCTGGACGATATGCTAAATGTAAGCCTACAGTGTGCCCTTGTTGCAAAGAAAACTAACAGCTTACTGGGCTGCATTAGTAGAAACGTAACCTGGAAATCAAGGAAAGTAATTATTCCCCTCTATTCAGCACTGGTGAAGCCACATAAAGAGTACTTTGTCCAGTGTTTGGCTCCCTACTCCAAAAAGGATGTGGACAAATTGGAGAGAGTCCGGTGAAGGGCAACAAAAATGGTTGGGGCCTGGGGCACATAACTTAGGAGGAGAGGCTGAGAGAACTGGGTTTATGTAGTCTGAACAAGAGAAGACTGAGGGGATTTAATAGCAGCCCTCAGGTACCTGAAAGGTGGTTCCAGAGAGGATGGAGCTAGACTGTTCTCAATGGTGGCAGGTGACAGAACAAGGAGCAATAGTCTCAAGCTGCAGCAAGGAAAAAATTAAGTAAAATATTAGGAAAATGTTTTTACTAGGAGGGTAGTAAAGCACCTGAACAGGCTACCCAAAGTGGTTGTGGACTCTCCATCCATGACGTTTTTTAAGACCCAGCTTGACAAAGTTTTGGCTGGGATGATCTAGTTGGGGATGGTCCTGCTTTGAGCAGGGTGTTGGACTAGATGACCTTCTGAGGTCCCTTCCAACCCTCTAAGATTCCATATTCTAATAACTACAAACAGGTAAGTATTCCTTTATTGATTCACAGAAAATTACCCCTAAACTGAGGTCTGCTTCCTGTGCTGGAGAGCTTCTCTTGCAAGAGATTTTATTCTCTTGGTCTGATGGAGGAGGGTCTGAGACCCAAGCAGAGTCTTCTCCCCATTAAGTCAAAATGGGTGAATGAAGAGCCTATCTTTTGTTCCCTCTCCAAGGCTGTTAGAAGGTTCATAGGGGAAGAAAAAGATATGTGTGATTCCCTAGTTGAATTTGGCTTAAAATAATGATGTACAATAAATCAGTTAATAACAGTCATGTTCATTTTGTCTGTTGTCTTGTTTCTAAGCCTTTAGTCCTCACAAGCTTCAAGTTTTCAAGCTTTTCTCCGCAACTGTAAAAGCTAGGAGCTCATTATTGCTTTGTGAATTCTCCACTATTTAGTGTGTTCCATAAAGCCTCTGATTCCTGAGTCAAGTTGTTTTTTGAGCCACCTCAGTTTTTATACAAAAAAATGAGAGCTGGCAACTGCTTTCCCAGATGCTTGTAGAGAAGATTTAGATCAGGGTTGTCTGACTTCTCAGCAACTGAGGGCTGCAGCAGAGGGGTCCAAACAGCATGGGAACTATGTGCCCCCTCAGGTTGCACACAATACACGTATGGGTGGGAAGTAGATATGGGATGGGGTGTTCCCCCATCCCACTGCACCATGTGCTGCCTTACTCTGCTGCACTGCATGATGCAGTGCCCCACATCATCTACAGCTCCCTGAGGGCACAGCACTGCATGAGCACATCAGGCTGCTGGTTCACCTGGCATTGCAGACTGCTCCATGCCATCCCACGCTGCCCCACAGAGATAGGTCAAGCAGCAGCAGAAGTGGGAGGGAGGGAGAGTCCCAAGACCCTGGCTGCTGCTGCAGCCAGAGGAAGGGGCAGTGGTGGCCACTAGGGGCCTTGTGTGGATCCCTTGCAAGCCGCATGTGGCCTGTGGGCCATGCGTTAAACAGCCCGGATCTAGATGCTGCTTCCACTCTCAAGGTTAAGGGAGATATAAAAATCTTGGAACTGACACCCCCACTCCATCCTAATGCCTGAGAAGGGCGTAGAAGTGAAGACACTAGCTGTTCTTCTGGCCATGATTCATAGGGCCTTCTTCTAATCAATTAGTGATGCGTCAGGAACATCACAGCACTATAAAGAAATGAACAGTACTAGCTGCTTTGGAACCCAGGAGAGCAGTGACAGTAACTGAATAAGCTGAAGGTAAATAGGAGTGAATGAAAGTGGAAGAAAGATAGGAGGATGGAGGATTTTGAGGACAGTGTGTGAAACAGAGAACAAGAACAAATACAGACAGAATAGTTAAGAGGGACAGATCCTCAGCTGCATAGCTTCATTGACTTCAATTGACAAAATAATTTATTTGATGTCCTTTAAAAAACACTTTTATGTTCTTACCTACAATTTCAGCCAGAAGCAGGGAAGCATCTGTGTGAATTGTTCCAAAGTAACATGCTGTAGTCGTGCCATTTTTTAGTGTTCTTCTCTATAAAAATAGTTCTAATTTTTAGTCACATTGCCAGAAAGACAGAACATATGATCAGTAGATTTAATCTGTAATATGGTTCTGCTAGGTTTTGCAATAATTGCAATGACTGTAGATGAAAAGGAAAGCCAACATGCAAAAAATTTATAACAGGTTATTATTAATGGATTTAAAAGGAAAATTATTCAGATGAATGTTCTGTGAACAGAACGGGCAAAGGTCTGTGCTATATCAGGGAAAATCTTTTCAAGATCCAAGGTTAACCCAATTAAAGTTATGTCAAATTTACACCAAAGATTTATACCAACTGAAACAGGTGTTGCCTTATGTCTAACTTGAGTACAATTTAGAAGTATAAACCTCTGCACCTATGAATGATTTCTTAGGTTGACAAGGCCTGGGATTTTCTGAGTAAAAAACGGTTTACATTATACTATTTATAATACTTTTTAAAATCTAAAATGAGTCTTAACAAAATATTTAGGGTCTCTTAAGGGTAGGGAGCCTTAAAGTAACATATAGATCAGTTTTTCCTAGGGCTTATTAAAAAGGGAAGTAACTTTCCAAGTTAATTAATAAATACCACATTGACAACATTATTCTGAACCACAAAGCCACAGTAGAAGCAAAAACCATCTTTTTTTAGTCTAAGGGAATTAACTAGATAATGTTGTTAATGTAGTTTTCTTAGTCAAATGGTAATTGATAGCAATCTATAAAGCTGGTATCCTGTGTCTTAAAGTGGCTAAACTCAGATATTTTAGAGGAAAGTACAAGAACCAGAGTGAGGAAATAAAGTTTCAAAAAAATGTAGAATAGAGCCAAAATAAGAAAATTTAAGTTTTCTTATTGCAATTAAAGGCTTAAAAATTAATTTCATGTCAAACTAAATGTTCCCTTTCATGTTACTATTTTTAGAAATAACTTCAATTCAGTTTGGCCTCCAAATATTATTTCAGTCAAAAATGGAGATGTTTTATTTTAAAAAGTCAAAATAAAATATTTGGACTTTTCCGTATTTTAATTGCTTTTTTCCTTAAAACTATTTTCTTAACTTGACCCTAGTTCACAAATACTTTATTGCCTCAAAGCTGTATTTTTGGCAAATAAGCTCTCATCTCAAAAATTTCACCTGAATTTGTAGATACGGTTTCATCTCACTCCTACTGCAGGTTTCACTTTGATATCTAGCAGTCAGGTGATAAATAAATGTTGCATTTGACCTGGTCCTGACCTGATTCAAAACAGCTATGGCATAGTGGTACAGTGATTTATAGGCTTGTGCAAATAGGAAAGTATTCAATTTGGATTCGGATTTGGCCAATTCAGAGGGCAGTAATTCAATTAGGAGATTCAGATGAATCAGCTTTGGAAGATTTGGCCGAATTGACTTTGGAAGATACGGCGCTGATTCAGAGAGATTCAGTGATTCGGATTGGCTGGGGAGAGGCAGGCACAGGCGGGCAGCTGCAAGTTCTCCCGTGGCTCCTCCAGCTGTGCCTGCCTCCCCTGGGGTGGGGGGGAGCCACGGGGGAAGTCCCCATGGCTGCCCTGCCTGGCCCAACCCCTGCCTGGGCCCCAGTTTAGTCCTGGCACTTAAGAAAAAAAAAAGTCCTGCACTCATTGGCTGCAGCAGTGGTGACTGGGGCCTCTGGGCACTCACGGTAGAGCCCCCCATGCAGCGCAGGGCAGCGTGGGGCAGCAGGGATTGCTGCCCCCCACTGTCCCACACTGTACAGGGGGGCTCTGCCATGAGTGCCCAGAGGCCCCAATCACTGCTGCCACGGCTAGTGAGTGTGGGGCTTCTTTTTTTCTTGTTTTTTTTTTTAAAGCCCCTCACTCACTGGCTCCAGCAGTGGTGACTGGAGCCTCTGGGTGCTCATGGCAGAGTTCCCCCTTCCCCCCCCGACACACAGCTCAGAGTAGTGGGGATTTCCCCATCCCACTTGGCACGCACACAGCAGCTGCCCCATGGCACAGGTGCAGTGTGGCTTGGAGGCTGCTGTGCACTGTCTGGGAGCTGGACCCGCTGGGGCTGGGGGGCTGTCAGGTGGAGCTGCCCCACCTCTCAGACAGCGTGTGACACCCTGCCAAGCCGTGCTGTACCCACGCCATGGGGCAGCTGCTGCATAGGTGCCAGGCAGAGGAGACCAATCTCTGCTGCCCCCAACTGCCCCACACTGCAAGGAGGAGCTCTGCCACAAGCCCTCAGAGGCCCCAATTGCCACTGCCAGACTCAGTGAGTATGGGGCTTTTTTTTTTTTTCAAAATACCAGGAAATTGGGGCTGGGCAGGGAATGGGGCTGGGGAGGGTAGCCATAGGGGCTTCTCCTGTG